ATCATTAGGAATAACTGTAATTCATTGGGCTATTTTGGTTCTCATTTCATTTAGAAACTTCTCAGGACGATATGTCCTCTGTGAGATGGTTATTACAGACCAGCATGAAAATTCCTCCATTTGCTGTTCTAGTTTCACCAGTGGTTTCTGATAACTCCGCTCATGCTGCAGAACATACATAAGACATAGGTGAGCCCAACTCTTTCCTATGAAACCCTGTTCCAGACTGATTTCCTCCCTGTGGTAAGCCCTCTCACACCCAGCAAACAGCAGTCTCTGCCCAAATAGTTCAAGGTTTTGGTCCCTTCACTGAGGAACACAGTGCTGCAGAGGAGGAGTCAGGTGCCAGGTTTAGATTTCCACACTGAAAGCTGTCACATGCCCAGAGAAGGTGTGGAGCCAGCTAGACTAATGCAGTGTTGAAGTTTGTGTTCAGATCCTTCACAGAGCAGAGAAATTAAATACTCAGGTCCTTTCAGAGTATTTCAGGAGCTACTTACTCATCATGTGACTGTCACAGAGGTTTTGCATCATACAGCACTAATGACCATCAAACTACTTAACCGTGGAAAATTGCTCTAATGTTACCTCAATGTATTAATAAATGATCCATTCATTAATTTAAATTATTGAACATTGGCCTTGTTTTCCTGCTAGGCTAAGATGACTTCATGCCAAATCCAAACAGGATAGTGGTGTTTAAGCCATCTCTGAAATCATGATGGTCATGAGGACTCCAGTCCCTGTGGACCAGCAGCAGCCAGCACTTGCTGCAACGATGCTGAGCAAGGGAGAAAGCACAGTGCTGCTCTGAGGTGCGGAAATATCTTTTTGGTAAGAGGCAGCAAGCCCTTTTGCAGATCTAAACCATCATTGCAGCTCACCCAGAGATCTTCAGCCTTGAAACTCTTTTGATCGGACCCTTGGCAGTCCCAGGAAAAAAAGCAGATTTACAGGCACTAGCTGGCCATGTTGCAGGTACTGGTGCCTTGGGCACAGACAGAGGAAAAATCATTTCTGATGCATAGCCATTGTGCTTTTTCATTTTCCAAGGCAGCCAGTAAAGTCTGGAAAGCTTTTACATCCTTTCTTTCTGCAAGAGTACTAGATTATCGATTCTGTGCTAAAACAAACAAACAAAAAATCTATTTGGATTGTTTATGAAGAGGCTACTAATGTAGTAAATCACTTGATACAGGAATAAAAGCACTAAAAACTGGCCAGTAAGGCAGTGAAACCCACAAAGTAATGGTTAGAAACTACAGGTCTTTTGAACATAGCAGCAATCCAACTGCAAACAGCTGAGGGGTGACTAGCTACAGACAGGAAAGAGCTGAGATGGGATATTTTATATTCCATATTGAAGACAATGTTCAATGCCTGGAAGCTGAAGCTGGGTGCATTCAGACTTAAAATAAGCAGCAGTTTCTCAGCTTGGTGGGAGACTAACACTGAAAGAACAGGAAGTCTTTAAAATTAGGTCCTTATGAATGGCAAGATTTCATCTCTGTGCAGGGAAAAATTCCTTCACAAGTGTAGCAACATATCAGTCTTGCTGAAACCCAGGAGAAGAGCTGTGCATAGCACATAGACAGAAAGAAATCAAGTGTCACTAGAAATCCCCTGAGCAGGTCAAAAAGAGAGGGAAAATGAATAAGGAAGGGACTGAGATCTCCTGAGCTCAAACTTTCCCATCTCACACCTTTTCTCTGGCACACTGGGATGCTCATGATGAAGAGCCTCCCGCATAAGCCTGATCTCATCACATTGGAGGAGAAAGCTCAGTGCACTCAGCTCTGTCCTGCAGCAGTGGGGCTCCCTGGGGAAGCTGAGTCTCTGGAAATCACTGAAACTTCAAAAAACAGTCTATGATAACTTTAATCCACAGCCGGGAGGAACTTCAGCACCAATTTTAATGGAAGCAGAATTAGATCAACTCCAGCTACTAGGGAAAAACTTCCCCAATAACTGTTATTGTAACACAAATCTCTATGGCATCAACCACTAGCACATTGTTAACCATTGCCATACAAGAGTTCACTAAAAAAGCAAAAATCCTGCAAGGGAAAAAGCATCCTTTGCTCCCAGTACAGAGAAGCAAATGAGGAGGGGAGAGTAGAAAGGACTCACCCTTGGTCTCTCTGAGCACCACAGCAAACTGGCTCACTCTCTACTCCATCCCCTGCCTTAGGAAGGAGCCAGCACCTCACACTGTCCTCAGGGCCAGGTTGGGAAAATGCAAAGCATGTTATTAGAAGGCAAAAATAACTCCTACCCAACAACCACTCCCATCCCCTTTTTAAATGCCTGGGGGATCAGGTGTGACACTGAAGCAATATAGATGGGAGGAGAAATAAAGAAACTCACAACTGTAAGGTGATGAGGATCAGCCAATTATACCTTCAGGAATCTGTGTTAATTAGAGGCTTTTCAAGAGAAGAGTCAAAGGACTTCACAGACACAGATGGAAACAGATTTTAACAAGCAGTGATAAGTCCCAGTGCTGGAGAGGCATCTCCACTTCATAAAGGGGATGACTCCAGCTGAGGATGTGCTAAACCAGCAGCCCCCACCACTGACTGAGTACAAGCCAGCAATCAGTCCAATTGATTTTCTGGGGAATATTATGATATTAACATGAATAATCATGTAGCCAGGACTGATAAAGATTTTTTCGCTACATAATAGTCATAGCTCTTTGTGAGAGTCCAGAAGCACCTGGGTCATCTGATGGCTCATAAGTGGTGCATTACCAGTGGCTCAGGGAGGAAGAATTGATTTTCCCTTTTTCTTAATGATGATGTGTAATGCAGCAGCTTTATGCACTGTCGACAGAGACTGCGGCTGTTTAAGAGGATTTGATAATAGCTCACACCTGAAGCAGGGTTTATTCCCAGACAGAGGGGAGTGCAGAGCAGAGAGAGGAACAAGTCACAATTAATTTTCTTGTTCTTTAGATATGGCTATGGTCATCTTCTTTCCCGCTTAAGTCAGAGCAGCTCAGAACATGGATGTGGATTTGTTTACAAGCATCAAAATGGTTCCTATAAGTGCCACACGTGCCTTCTGAAAAAGGGCACAGAAAAGCCATTTAAGAATGAAAAAAATCATCTAAGAGACTGAGCAGAGCTCTTTTAGGTTATCCCCAAATGAACACTAACTTTGAGGTAATTCATGCGGTTTATTGCACTAGCCAAGAAAACCAGGTCATGTAAAATGAAAGAGCCCATATTACCTGTGAAGCAAAAATGCCTTCTCAGCAGAGACTTTTTCACTCTGTGCTTGTTCTAGACCATTATTTTCACTTCCCTGAGATGTGCTTCATGAGGAATACTACAGGGACAGACATCACTCTTGGTGAACTGTACTGCATGGGGGGGGGGAGGGGGGCTGTGAGTTGGAAACAAGGACTGCAAACATGGAGCTGTGTGTGTGACAGAGCTAACATCCCCCTCACCCTAAATGGGTGTGCAGCATGGAGATAAATGCTCCTAAGAGGCATCAGAGGGAAAAAGCTGCACAATGACCACAGGCACAGCAGATGGAGTCCCAGAGCCCAACAACTGCTGCCCTCTTGCTGGTGCCCCAGCCCATCTTTGCCAGCAGGTTGTTCATGCAGTGGCACTCCAGCAATAAGTGGACATGATTTTTGACACAATAAACTTCAGAGACCTGAGCAGGAGCTTCCAGACTCCCCTGGAGCGCAAGTGCAACTGGTCCAAGTAATAAACCTTGGGAAGGCCAGGGTTCAGTGTGATGCTCAGGACACTGCACAAAGGCTGAGCCGTGGTTACAGCATCTCCTCTTGCAGCCAGGGTGCAGTGGCTGGGTTTTGTCATGCTGTGTCCCTTGGGACCCCATGCAGCACACCCAGCTCTACCAGCCAGTGTTTCAGGTCTCGAGGGGTTATGAATGTCATGAGGGGGCTCAGAACATCAGCACCCACAGGTGTGAACTGGGGCCTGTCTTGAAGTTAAGTCACTTTGTGAATATGTAACTTTCACTATTTCATTAGGATTTCTCCCATCTGTTAAACATCATCCCAGAGAGTTTGGTGACGTTCTTAATGAAGCTGTGAAGGGATGCTTTTGTTTTAGATGTAATTGGACAGCTGTTTTATTATGAGTTAATGAACTATGATGATTAAAAAGAATCCAATTTTAGCAAACCATGTATTAACAATTACTCCGGACTAAAATCACAGCTGAGCAAGTGCTAGACAACTTTCATGACAATGACTAAAAGCAGAAGATGAAGAAGGAAAACCAGTGAGGTGCTACAGGACAAGAGGTGCCTCCAGACCAGGCTCCCTGCATGAGGCATGGTTCCTTGGGCTGCCCCACAGCAACCACTCCACACCACCAAAGCCCCTTTTGGCCCAAATCAGTCATCAGGGTCTGTTCACACTCTTCCATATTCCCAGCCCCTCTTCATGCCCATGTCATCCCTGTCCTCTGACCATGGCATCCCATGAGGGGCTGGCAGAAGGGAAAAGGGACAGTGATGGCAGCAGGCTCGAAGGTAATTGAGAGACAGAGATAACTGACCTCTCTGAGGTTGCAAAACATATTTCAGACTGCTTTTCCCCCTGCCCTGGTTCTCTCTGGCCAAGGCTGTTTGCCCTGGAGGCGTTGCACAGAACAGGATGCTCCCTGATGTAGGGCCACATCCTTCCTGACTGCAAGGAGATGACCCCACAGCAATGCTGAGCACCAGCAGCACCATGAAAAGTTGATCCAGAGATGGGGAGTCCTGAATTTGTCCTTCCCACACTTTCCAGCTCAGAAGACAGTTTTATATTTCAGCTCAACCTTGTGCCAAAGACCAGAGACCACAAAAAGCAGCTGTTGGAGTTTCCATAGAGGTTTCTCAGTTCATATGGAGCAGCTTCTGGGAAGTAAAGTCTTTGCCTTGAGAGAATTTCAGTGAAAAATCTCTAAAGAGTTAAATGAAGACAGGTCCATATGCCACATGTGCAAATCACTTATCTCCTGCTGTTAAAATAAATCTGTCCCAAATCATTGTGGCTTCCCAACAGCTGCCTCCTGATCTTTCTCTGCTTCAGCCCTCCATTTGGCCTTCTTTTCTATGTTCACCCTCAGCAGCGTCTGATCCTTTTTTGCAGCCTTGAAAAGAATTGGTGAAAATCATTGCATGCACATAGTTGCCACCACTACATTTCCCCACATTTGCACCACTTCCCTTGACATCCCACTGTCCTTTTTGATATTTTGCAGTAACAGAAGTTAATGTGTTTCCTTGTCATACCACATTTTCAGCGTTTGCAGCTCTGATTAGCAGGAGAGTTACACTTTAAGTTGTTTACAGGTGCACTGGGACATGCAAGTCAAACTGGAGACCCTCCTTCCCCAGCAATGGGATGGAAAGAAGTGTCACAGCTCTTGGTGGCCATGGTGACATGCAGGCTAGGCAGGCAGGACCACAAGAGCCTCGTGGTCGATGGATGCAGGACAGGACCAGGTACCATTGGCACTGTCTGAACTACTCCATCACCTTTGGACTGGCCTCTTGCTGAGATACTGTAACACAGAGTGTTGCACTGAACAGGTTTATGACAAAGTGGGTCAGAAGGAACATGTTAATCAGCAAATTGTGCTTCCCCATGGCAATCTCTCCCCTAGAGAAGGAGAGACACAGGTCCTGTGCAAATATTGCTTATGTGTACTTACAATCTGTCACCCAGGGGCTTATTTACAAAAAGCGTACATAGACCACACATTAAGAAAATCAGTTCACCCAGAAACAATACTCACTTCTTTGCCTGTGATGACCATGGTCAAACAGCCCAGCACAGTCAGTGCAATCATGATGTAGCAAACCTTTATCCTGACAACGTTCCTTGCTGCGTCGAGGACATCAGACCTGCCGAGGACAGAGCAGAGTTTCCATCCTGCAGCAGCGTGTGTGAAATGAGATCATGGGGAGCTGAGTAATGAATCCTCAAGTCTTACAGCAACTGCGTGTCAATGTGCAATGGGTTTCTGCCTTCTCTTTCTGCAGCTGCTTAGAGGAGGACTGAAAAAATTAGCCTACGGGGAAAAGGTTTAGCCACCCTCCCACGCAGGTGGGGTATTGCTGCTTTCAATAGCCATCTGTAAGAACAGGAATAACAAATCCTGCTCTCCTGTCTTCTTTTATTGCATATGAGAGTGCTTACACCTGAGAGGGGAAGGATGGGTGGAAGAGCCCCCAGGATGTCACAAGTCAGAAGCTTAGGACTCCAAAACTGAGTGACAATTCTTTAACAAAATACCTTAACAAGAAGGTGAAACCACAGGCCAGACATGAGGAACTCATTGTAGATGCCTGTCACCAAGGCTGTGTGTAGCCCCAATTTATTATTAAAATTTATGCAGCAATATTGCTAATCAATAAAACCTAGCAAAGCATGCAAAATCCAAAGTGGATGATATCTTACCGTAGTGACTCGTGAGTTACAAAGCCACTTGTCTTGTAAAAGACACTACAACTTAGTCTGAAATGTATGATATCTAAAACAAATGAATCCAATTTACTTCACCTATAATGGCAAAAAGCTCATGTTCCCAAGAATTACAATTGGGGCTACAATTTGGACACCAGTAACAGCAATCCCCATCAGCATGGGGGAGCACTAACTCTCACCATGTGAGCACAACTCTGGGTAATGCAGACTGGGGTGTCAATCTGTGTGTTCACAGACAAAAGTATCATTCTGACTGGTCCACTTACGATATGTGCTTGGGAATGTCCTCCTCCTTTTTAAAGCGTCCTGCCCATACCAACACCTTTTTATCAAAATTTGTAGGCCTTCTGTCATTTCTGAAAGCTTCTTTACCTATAAAAGATTTTATAAAAGAAAACAAGTCAAGCTTCAAGAAGGGAAGAGGGGAAAAGCTGTTGTTACAGGGGGAAAAGGATTGAAGGTTCAAAATTACACTTTTCTATTCTCTGAGAGTCAAATGCACTTTCTAAAGTCAAAAAGACTCAGCAGATGGTGTGAGCTTTGTTACATTTGCAGCTTATTTCATTTGGCCTTTTTTTCCTTTAGTTTTGGTAGGTCTTAAAGTAAAAATCTCTCCTAAGCTTCCTGATTGAGAGGGTAAAGGATGCGGGGCTGAGGTTCCCTAAGCCTGCAGCATCCTCTCACCCTGCCAGCATCTTGCTTTTAAATGGCCCAACTAGTGAGTTGAGCAAACTGTCGGCAGCACAAGTAACTCCAAAACAGCTTCTCCTCCTAAAATCACCGATGGAGAGATGAAGTCTGCTAAAATACAGCCTGGTGGGAGGCTGGCAGTCATTCTCATGCAAGCTGGGTAACACATTACTGTACTCTAATGATGATACATTACACCCCATCAGGCTACCACGGTGATGCCATTAGCATGTTGTCACCCACAGCACAATGAGAAAAGGACTCTGGCTTCTCTTGATGGAAACAAGCCCAATGACAGGCCACAACAAGGACAGCAGCAGGGAGACCCTGCAAAAATAGCAATGGCTATCTCAAATCCTGCCTTTTGCATTGTACACTTGCACAAGTGGTCTTTACAAGGTAGCTGAGACTGCTCACCCAGCACCTACACCGGGGTAGGTGCACCCAAGATGCTATGCTACAGTGCCCTGTGCTTGCAAATGTGGGACTTGGGTTGAGAAATGCTCAGAGCATGCAGAAAGGATGGACATGAAGATGTCCCTGGTTTCAGTGTTCTGCACTCCCTGCTTGTTGCTGGATTGGCTTAAAGAAAATCACTATCACTACAGAACAGGGCATGGGGAGCATCTCTTCCTGCCTGTGTTGAGATGGTGAAATTACATTAAGTGCCTTGGCCCCAGACCTGCTCATGGATGCCAGGACTTTGTGAATGGCTGGAAAATCCCAGTTGTAAATCTTGGCTCCCAGACCTCCGGGTAAATTTAATCTCCTGCTTCTCCTATTTGTCTTACAGAGTGCCAGTGAGACCAGTAAGTGCCAGAGTCAGATCTGCAGCAAGCAGTATGTTGGATTGCTAAAAGGACAGGCTTCATCACAAGGAAGACAAGGGTAATGCCCCATGCAGGAGACCCTCAGCCATCCCATGGAAGCACAGACAGCCCCATGCAGCCCAGCCTTGACAGGGTGAGAGGTCTACAAAGGCACAGCCAAGGAAGTGGTGGTACAGGTTAAAAAGAGAAACCATCTCTGTACCAGGAAGCTTGTCCATCTGGGAGCGGCCAATGTCTGCTCTCTGCCACATAATCCAGGGCACTGCCTGGCACAAGCACACACAGGTGTGGCTACAACTCGGCAGGGATCATGGAGGGGAGCTGAAGGGTGCAAGTCTGCCACTTGCACCAGCCCTGCACACGCAGGGACTTGCACTGGTCCTCCTCTGGAAACCGGGCAGCTGGGTAGGAGGACGAATATTTGTTTATCTGTTTTAACTAACATGTTCCCTGACATGAAGCGTCGGTTTGTATTTGCTACCATAGGAGAAGGACTATTTAACACAAAAAATTTATCCCTGTGCACTGTGCTGGTCAGAGCTCTGAGTGTGCTCAATGTCCCGGGAGCGCCTGTAACCCCAGGAGATGCAGCCCTGCGGTAGTTCAGCCACAGTCGAGAATGAGGGTCATTTTCTCACCCTTTCCTCCAAATACCCTCTTCCTCCATGCTGCAGCACGAAACAGTGACCAAAGGCTTTTTACCCACCTGGATCAGCCGCCCGCAAAGCCACGTGCTGAGCGTCCCTCGCTTTGTTGCCGACAGCCCTGGCGGGGCACAGGACCGGCCGAGCCACCCGGTGCCACAGCCCAGGGCTGTGCCCCACCGGCCTCCCCAGCATCCTGCCCCGAGCAGCACTGGACCACCACAGCCCCAGCAGCCTGGCCATGCAGGGGGCCCGACAGGAGCCCAGGAGGCTGCCTCTAGGAGTTATTAATGCAAAACTATCCCCTCCTGTAAGAAGGGAGTAGCGTGCACTTCCACCCTGACTGACAACAGGCTTTGCTTATGTCACGACGACAAAGTTAAATTTATCACCTGTGTTTACTAAAATGACACACCTTCGGAGATAGGCGAGCAGAAATCACCTCTGTGGCAGCTCACGCCCAGCCCAGACTCTGCCCCGGGCTCTACATCCCAAGGAGCTGCTCAGGAAAGCAGTGCTCATTTACATTATTTTCTCAGTCCTTACTATGGAAGGACTAAAATAGCGTGCTGTATTTCCCCAAAGATGGGCTTAGTGACTGTTAATTATCACAGCTGGTTAAGCTTTTAGAGTTCTTAATTGTTCTCAGCTAAAAAAATAATCTTGCAAATCAGTTGCTTTAAACAGACTTTCTGAAGAGGAACAGTGTTTACCCCATCTCAGAACAAATGTGGTTTAGTGGCAGGAAACTAAACCTGGTGTTTGTGTCCATAAATGCATTATGGGGAGCCCATCTAGCATCCAAACTGCAAACTCCTAGCAAAGAAATATATTTCAGATATATTTCAGATTTAAAAGAGTAAACTAAGAAATTGTAACTAAAACCTCAGGTGTTGTAGTACTTGTCAGTCAGTAAAATTGTCATTGAAATGTAGCAGTACCTATAAAGTATTTGCCCTCCACAAGGTCTGGATAGCACTGGATGTTTTCCATAACATCAGCTGTTCTAACCTGAGAATGAACCAAAACCAATGCTATTTTATCACTCTGACATTTCTACTGCATTTTGCACAAAATTCTCGCTGATGGGTCAGGAAATGGAAATGCAAAATATTTGTCTCGCTCAGAGCAGTGGGGTATTTGCTCTCATTAAATATATAATGCTCTAAAGCTGATTTACAGGTAGGGAAAAAAAATCCATTTGAAAGGGAAGAAGCAGTTGCCAAAAGGTAAATTTTTAAGAACTATTTAGTAATACTATCAAATGCAATATTGCAGATAATCAAAGTGTGTCTAAGAGCAAGGGGAGGAACTGTTGGGATGTTAGCAAGGATACTCTTTAAGGGCTGAGAGGATGAAAGATGTGAAACAGATGCAGTTCCAGCTTCTCAGCTCCTGGCCCCAAGGAAAAACTCTACCATTTATAGAGACATTTTATATTTTTTGAGAACACAAACTTATTGATGCTGAGGAAAGAAGAAACCCAGAGCAATGAAAAACATGTTTTTTCCTCTGTTATGAAAGCTCCACAATGTATCCAGATATAACACATTTTGTTTAGCTTAATTCACTTGTAATTTGGTAAAGCAAATTAGATCCATTTCCAGATTAGGAACCCATACAGAAAATAAATAGTGGTTTGAGCTTCCAGCTGCAAACAAAACCTGTAAACAAGCAGAAATCAGTGGATGTGATTATGCTGGAAGAAGCAGAAGGGAAAACTGGTGAAATCATGGAGGATATTTGTGTCCTGCTCAGGGTTTTCCTGGGGGAAAATGGATGCGAGGAGGAGGAAAGATGCATTTATAGCCTGAAGTTTACAGGGCTCAGCACCCCTGAGCACCCCCACAGCCCCCCTTCTCACCTTGCAGAAGAGCTACTAAGTGGAAAAGGGATATTGTACATCTGGACATCCCTCAGTCCCCAAGATGAGTGGGCAGAAGGGGCTGTAGGGCAGCGGATGGGACATGCTGCCATGATGTTTATGTTGCACCCCACAGGGGCTCCAGCTGTGCAGAACATTAGAGCATTTTCACTTTAACAGGCACTCTCCAAAATACTTACTTATTGCAGAAGTGACTGTCTTTACGTCATGTCTGATTATGGATTTGAAGAGGAAAATAAGAACATTTTTTTTTATGTCTTAGTTTCTCAAAAGTGGAGAGAATTGTGGGTTTTTCAGGCCTCTGGTGCTTATTCACCCAGGGGTTGCCAATTGTTTCTTCTAGCAGACACACCAGCTAACAGCTGTATTAATCATGTCTGCTGTGAGCAAAAAGGCACTTCAGGATTTATTATGCCAGCATTTGGAAGTGCAGAGACACAGAGATCCTCATGAAACCACAAAGGCAGTTACTTGTTCCTGAATTTTACCTGTTTTTCTGGCACCCTGAATGCTTATTGCCAGGGTGAGTTTTACTGCAGTGTATGAAAGCTATAGACACCTCCAAGTTAGGAATTCCTTTCCCATGTAGACTGTGGATCTCTCTCTGGCCCAGAGCACCTTAAATCCCCTCCTAAATAGCACAGAGATGCAGAATTCTCTTGGACCAAGGTAGCCTTGTGTACAGCCTGATGGACTTAGTCCTCTTTAGAGAAGTTTTGTGCTTAGCCCAGTGCATGCACATCCCCCCTGTCTAGGTTACAAAACATCCCCAGGAGGCTCTTCCAGTCACTCCCCACACCAAGCCATCTCTTGATAGCCATCAGTGATTCATGACCAGAGTGCAATATCAGTATTTCATAACCATTAAGCTCACAGATAGGGAGTTTGTTGAACAGCAGTAACAACTTGTTCAAAGATGCAGAGTTAGTGAAACTGGGTTTAAAGCACCATCTCCTCTGCCTTCCATATCCTTCTGCCAGGAGGGGAGCAGGACCCCAGCTCCTCAGCAAGCCCTGGACAGTATAGACAACACTGACTAGCTGTACAGACATCCCCCAGGCTTCCTCTGACCCTTCCTGCAAGGGGAGAGCACAGATCTGAAGGGTTTTGAGTTACACAGGCACAGAGTAGCTCAGACAGAGCAGAGGATGGTCTGCTGCTGTGGTGGTGGTGCAGATTTGTGACATTTCTGTTTTCTGTGTGCGAGTGATATGTAGCTGCAATGCTTGTTGCACACTGGCGCCAACACTGAAGATTTAAAACTAAACAGAAAACCACACAGGACTCCATCCTGGTTCTGCATCCTCTTCACACCCCTTCTGCCACCACGAACTCTTGCAGCTGACTCCAGAGCAAGACTAGCAACAGTTCCTAATTGTACTCGAAAACCTTTGCAGAACTGGAACTGAGAGGCTGCAATATAAACTCAATTGTTTGCTGTAAAACTCCATTGCTCTGGCTTCTGACTGACTTTATACTGTTATTCCCAGTCCCTTAATTCTGATTATTGTCAGCTTATTGCAGCAATGAGAAGCGCAGGTTCTCTTCACTTGTTCTTCTTTTTCTGCTTTCAGCAGCAACAGGAATGAAAGTGTTTATTGTTCCAGAAGCCCCATATTCCCACTCATATCTTTACAACTCCTGGTTCATTTTCATAATAATGCACAATAAATTTTTATACTCATACACAGAAAAGAAGTCATAGGAGTATTCAATGAAAAAAAGTATTACTCTGCAAAGCTGTTTTCACTGGCCTCAAAAACAGATGTCTTACCATCAGACTCTGTTTTGCATGCCATGAAAACTTTTACATGAGGGCTGTGATGAGGAACATAAGATAATCTTATCTTAAAATTCTTTGCCTTGCCCCTATCTAATTAAATATGCAGCAGAGCTCTGTCTTGGTTCCTAGACAAGAAAAACAGCAATCCTGGATGGGCTTGTGTCTCATGAAATTCTAAGTGAGTCAGGAAATATTTTTCCAGGCAACTGTGTATTCTCCAGCAGCACAATTTAACACAGTAAGAGCAATGAATTTCTTCGAAATATCTGACGTACCTGCGGACTCCCAGGCCCAGAGCTGTCCCTCCTCTTCAGGGTCCTCAGGGAGCAGCACTCTCAGGGCTTCAGTTCTCTCCAGAAGGTGAGACACATCCTCCCCATATCAAAAACAGTCTACCCTAAGGAAAGTCAAATGCAAATCTCAAGAAACTAAAAGCTCCTTAACTGTTTCTCACTATTTCTCATGACAACCAAGTAAAATCAAGGGAACAGTTACAGTATCTTATAACAAAACCAAACTCAGAGGGTTTGTAAAGAGTTCTGAACACAAGCACCAGCATGAGGCTTTAAGTAATTCAGAACACTAGGATTAATATTTTTTATAATCTTGACTGTTGTCAATAAAACAAAATGAAAGAGTCCTTCCTCTCTTTCTGTGCTAAACTTCAGCTTTGCTTTTTTAAAGAAATGAAATCAATATTCCTCTATCCAGGTACTGAAAGATCCTACACTTCATGGCAGTATTGTCCCTATTCCTCCAAATTTGATAGTATCACTATAATTTGAAAAAACTTACTTAGAAACCATACATAAGACACTAAGCCACACTATTAAAAATAAAAAAGCCATCAACCAAACAAAACCACACCCACAACTCCACTGTCTCTGGTAAATCTTGCCTAATTTGGACCATATGAGCCTTTTGGCATCAGTCTTTTAAGAGGGAAAGGTAATTGATGTAACACACTTGGTATTTTCTACAACAGGAGCATTCAGTTCCCCCAAGTAAAAAAGATTTGAACTGTTTTCTATGTCTGCCACTAATTCAAAAATGAGAAGGATTTGGCCCTGAGTGCGTTGGCTCTGAGTAGCAGTGCCCAAGGTTACAAGGATCAGGATCTCCAAATTATCCTTATCTGAGTAGATTCATCTTCTCTGCCACTAAACACATTTATCCGTAAGAAATTTAAACCCCAATTAACAGCCTGTTTTTTTGGCTGCTTAAAGTATGTTCAACTCTGGAACAGCAGGAGAACCCACTCCTACCTCTCTGGATGGAAATGCCTACAAACAAGGGACACTGCTGTAGCCAGGAGGATCCATAAGCCACACTTGCTTTGCTCCCTTCCATCAGTTCTGTGTTTTTAGATAAGATGCAATAGAATATTTGCTGGACACGGGAATGCACTTATGAATTGTCTTAATAGGAGCCAAATTCAGTGGAGCTTGTGAGCTGCACCTGGAGTCACCAATCTCTTCAAGCAAATACTTAAAAGGGACTTGGGATTGGTCTGATGTGCCCTGGGTACAAAGTGCAGGGTTTATAACAGCTTGTGTCAGAAGGGCAAAGCTCATG